AACCCAAATCTTTGGTAGCATCTCGCAAACGATTTCTGAATCTTCAATGGCAATTTGAAAACACACAGCTACAAACCAAATGAGAAAGCAGCAGTGTCTTGATAGACAACAGCATTAGTGCAAAAAAGCACTGTAATCGTAAAAAAGAAACACAAAAAGCTGAAGTAGATTGAGGCCTTGCCAATGTCAAGAACATTTAGCAGCAAATAACAAAGGAGTGCGAGTTTATTCCCGCAAAGTCAACCATAGCGGAGCAAATTCTTTCCAAGGACCCTTGCTGCCGTACACTTTCTATGCCGGAAGAGCAAAAACTGTAAAAAATTTTGAAAAATGTGGATGAAAAGTGAAAAACAGGTGCTGCGATCGAATCGGGCGAGCAGGCGGCGTCGCGCGCGTGCGCGCGCGCGGTGGTTCATATGTGCACAATTCTGGGGGATCGACGATATGTTCCGAATAGAAATTTTTATTTCTGAACGATCCGGACCAAACTTGGCACACATACACTTTGGACCCCGGCGGGTGTCATAGGCTACTTTTCGTCATCGATCGACATAGATTTTATCGATTTTTTGCAAAATTTGAGTGGAAGTTGGCACAGGGGGTAATCGAGCATGCTGATTACAAAAATATTATTGACAGGGCCGGGTGGAGCCGGGTAGGCCATCTAGTTGTTTTTCTAAAATCAAGGAAATTTTATAAAAATTCATAACTTTACTATATGAAAAGCTAGAAGAGTCTTTTGCACTCTATTGGAATCCACTTGTCGTCCGCTTTTTGAAAATATGTAGGCTGCCAGAAAAAAAGGGAGTTTTCCTGGCGGGTGAAAGGGGTCGTAGTCTTGTTATCGATTATTTGCTTAAGCGCGACCAAGATGGCAGATCTTTATTGATGGCCGACGTTTCGGCGTCCTCGCTCTCGTCAGAGCCTGGAAATCAAAGATCACTCATGACGTATCCCCTCAAACGCCTCATCTGACCCCAGAGATCCATACAAGAGATCAAATGAGATCAAAGCTAGTAGAAACGAACACGAAGGAGCACTCACCGTAATGCAGTGATTTTTGTAGCCAAGACCACCCGTATGAGAGACTACTATTAGCCACTATGTACTTTACGCATATTTATGCTAGAGGATCCCGCCAACGCAGCCCGTCAACGCAAACCTCATTACTCCTGTAGATCAAACTTGCATAAGGTTGGTAGGACGCAAGCTCGTTTGTTACTGTTATGCACTCGTCTTTCGTATTTAATTTTGGGTTTTTAGCCATAATCCAAAACGCTTGGAGTGTTTTGCGTGCCACAATTTCGGTTTCGTACGACAAGATCGTGACTTTTACGTCGAATGCAGCATCGCTATGATCCTTTTGACGATGTGCACCCAATGGCGTCGGGGTCGTAGTCGTTTTTCCGGAATTAAGCTAATTTTTAATTTAAAAATTTATAACATTTTTATATGAGAAGCTAGGAGAGTACTTAGGAGTTCATTGAATTCCTCTCGTCGTCCGCTTTCAGAAAACATATAGGTTGTAGGGAGAGGGATGCTAAAAGTACGTGGTGACGGTGGGGGAACATGGTATAATGAAAATGTTCCTTTCTGTACTCCAAAAGCGTCGTTTTAGGAGTTAAAGGAACGTCCCATTATACCATGTTCCCCCCACCTTCACCACGTACTTTTAGCAACCCTCTCCCTACAACCCATATATTTTCTGAAAGCAGACGACGAGAGGATTCAATGAACACCTAAGCACTCTCCTAGCTTCTCATCTTATATATAAAGCTGAATGTCTGTTTGTATGTCTGTATGTCTGTCTGTATGTCTGTGTGTACGTATGTTCCGAATAGAAAATTCCATTTCTGAACCGATCGACCAAACTTGGCACACATACACTTCGGGCCCCGGCGGGTGTCATAGGCTACTTTTCGTATCGATCGATATCGATTTTATCGATTTTTATCGATTTTTTTTGCGGAGTTCACCTACGGGGCTGGGAGTTGGCAAAGGGGGGTAAGTGAGCATGGGGATTCCGAATACAATATTAGTTTTCAGAATTATCGATTACTTTTATCGATTTTATCGATTTTTTGTAAAGTTTGACCTGCGGGGCTGGGAGTTTGCACAGGGGGGTAATCGAGCATGCTGATCATCCCCAAGGGGGATAATCAGCATGCTCGATTACACCCCTGTGCCAAATTCCAGCCCCCTAGCTCAAATTTTCAAAAAATCGATAAAATCGATAAAAGTAATGGACGATCCTGAAAACTAATATTGTGTTCGTAATCAACATGCTCGATTACCCCCCTGTGCAAAATCCCAGCCTCGCATGTCAAAATTTACAAAAAATCGATAAAATCAATAAAAGTAATCGATAATTCTGAAAACTAATATTGTATTCGGAATCCCCATGCTCACTTCCCCCCTGTGCCAACTCCTAGCCCTGTAGGTGAACTATGCAAAAAAGTCGATAAAAATCGGTAAAATCGACATCGATCGATAACGAAAAGTGGACTGTGACACCCGCCGGGGCCCGAAGTGTATGTGTGCCAAGTTTGGTCCGGATACGGCGGAGCCGGGTAAGCCAGCTAGTCTTATATATAAAGCTGAATGTCTGTTTGTCTGTATGTCTGTCTGTATGTGTGTACGTATGTTCCGAATAGAATCCATTTCTGAACCGATCCGGACCAAACTTGGCACAAATACACTTCGGGCCCCGGCGGGTGTCATAGGCTACTTTCCGTCATCGATCGATATCAATTTTATCGATCTTTATCGATTTTTTGCAGAGTCCACCGACGGGACTGGAATTTGGCACAGAGGGGTAATCGAGCATGCTGATTACGAATACAATTTTAGTTTTTGGAATTATCCGTTACTTTCATCGATTTTATCGTTTTTTTGCAAAGTTTGAGCTACGGGGCTGGGAGATGGCACAGGGGGTAATCAAGCATGCTGATTCCGAATACAATATTAGTTTCAGGATCATCGATTACTTTTATCGATTATATCGATTTTGCAACGTTTGAGCTACGGGGCTGGAAGTTTGCTTAGGGGGGGGGGTAATCGAGCACGGGGATTCCGAATACAATATTAGTTTCGGGATCATCGATTACTTTTATCGATTTTACCGATTTTTTTTGCAAAGTTTGAGCTACGGGGCTGAGAGTTTGCGCAGGGGGGTAATCGAGCATGTTTTTACTAAAACAGCGGGAATAGTGATTTGGCATGTAGGCGTGGGCACACGGAAAGGTTCGTACAGAGGGATAGTGTTCTTTGACATAGTGTTTTGACAGGGCCGGGCGGAGCCGGGTAAGCAAGTTAGTATAAAAATGTTATAAAGTTTTTAAATCAAAAATTAGCTTAATTCGGAAGAAACGACTACGACCCCTTTCACCCGCTAGGAAAACTCCCTTTTCTTCTGGCAACCTACATATTTTCAGAAAGCGGCGACGAGTGGATTTCAAAACAGTGCAAAAGACTCTTCTAGCTTTTCATTTAGTAAAGTTGTGATTTTTTATAAAAGAATTTCCTTAATTTTAGAAAAACAATTACGACCACCTTCACCCTACAGAAAAATTCTTTCTTTCCTGGTAAGCTATATATTTTCTGAAAGCTTTCAGCAAGAGTAATTCAATGTTTAGCTAGAAACTCTCCTATTTTCTCATATGATAAAATTACAATTTTTTATAGAAATTGCGGCAGTGATTATTTACGCTTGTTCTTCCCTTCTTGTATAGTGCTCCAACGTGGAAAAATGCATCTTTTGTCCTTCCCCGTCCAAATAGGCGGATTGTAGAACTCCACGATCCTCGTAGCTGTAGCATTCTGACAGTAAGACTAACCCTTATTACACTAAGTCTTCGATGTGTTACGTGCCTCGGTTGTAACTTCCTCTCTACGCACATGTTACGATCTTTATCAGAGTTTAGAAATAACATTAAAAGTTGGGACAATGACTCTTTAAGGAATCAATCAATGACTTTTCACGATTCCGCCATCTGCTTAGAAAATTTATTCCCCTCAAAAGAATGCAATTCAACTGCGCAACGATCATCAAAGTTCATTTATTATTTTACTTCACTTATTATTTCAGCAAATACGTGAGTAACTTCATTGACATATATACACGAAGGCATCACCCGTAAATTTTTTTCAAGGCTTTTTCCTCGTTCTTTAGAACTGAACAATAGGCGGCAAATTTGCGACGTACTTTTTAGTGAACATGCAAATAAGTTTTGACAATCATAAAAATAATATTCAGAATCAACATGTCACTAAATTTAATTTAAATAATGCCGATAGTTTAATAATTTTGCTTATAATGTTGATTTCTTAGTCTCACTTCTTTCGGTGTTCCTTCTTCGAATTTCAGCGGGTAAGACCTAATATTCGACTTTGACCCTGTTTGGCTACAATTTCACTTGATGCATGTGAATGAAAAGAACATGAGAAGCAATGATGACGAACATTGCCCCCCCTCCCGGTCGACGCACCTTGACAGCGGCGGCCGCTCCCTCCCCCTCTCCCCCCACCCCCACACCGTCGGCCCCATACTCCCCTCACCCTGGAGAGGCCATGTTCCCCCTTTGCACACGTATGATCACAAGTCATGTTGATGTATTGGAATTAGGCATCTCACTACTCCCCTCTACCTCGGAAAAACCCTGACAAGCGCTGTTCTTGCTCTTCCAAGATATGATACTGATTCAAAAGTCGAAGTAAACCTATTCCGAGGTTCTGGCTTTCGAGCTACATGAAGTCTCTGTGAGATTTCAGGTTGTGAACATAATCGAATCCATGATCGACCAAATTAATGCACCTGATGTCCAGTTTTGAGTTATTACATTCTACATTTGCAACCCAATTTTTACAAAAGAAGTAACCTTTACCTCCGTCTACTAGGATCCTGCAAAGTCGCCTTTTGGAGCCTCTACTTCCTGCACTATTGACACCCACCTATCCATAACTTATAAAGATCCTTCGCCTTGTCCGCAACTCAACCGTACCTGGTATTTCTTCAAAGCGTTGACCATTGTGGATGCAGACGCACCGACCATGTCAAAAACTGTGGTAGAAGACAAGCCCCCTATAGCATCAAGCTCTTCCTCGCCAATGAAGAATCTGATTAGAGGAGTTCCTAGACAAAAGTAAAATATTTGGTCAAATGTAATGATTTTCACAATATTAAAAAATACTTGCTTATGCAAAAGGCACCACAGAGATCCTTGACATGCCTTAATTTGTCTTCAGTATGTGTGATAATCAAAGCTAGTGGACCTCGACGTCCTCGTAACTTGAATGTAGGGTTTGTCAGAGTAAAATCATCTACGACGTACCTCGACTTCTTTGAACTCCACAAGTTTATTGACTAGTGGTAAGAGATAACCACTGGTTTTTCCAGCCCCATCTGGCCCCATCACCAGAAAATTAAACTCTGAAACAAGTCAAAATTTATCCATTGAGTATATATGCAAGATTCAAAGCAGTTCTAAGCAAAAACAAACCTAGGTCATCAAGATTTGAAATTATGATAATATGCCGCTAAGACTTTCGCGGCTACTTACATCGAGCGAATACTGCGAAAGCTCGGACTCAACCGCTCGCAGCCCATGTTGGTTTTACAAAAAAGAAGAAGAGTCGAGATGCGACAATCATGGTTTGATAGGAAGGAGAGGGGTTGGACACCGCTATTGTGATTTTTGGGTAAACCGCAATTTAATTAATATATAAAGGATCGCTAACTCAGTTCAAAAATCTGCAAATAGCGGGGAACCGCGGTGCGGTCCCGAAGCACGCGCATTCTGGTAGCATCTTCAATTACTGGTTCACTAGTATGAGAAATATTCTGCTACATTCTGCCTAGAGCACTTTGGGAAGATAAAAACATTGACTTGGTAATCGGCTGGCCCCCGCAAGTCATGTAAAAGGCCGCACGCATACAATTGCCTCTTCGATTATGAAGTAGTGTGCGTTCGGCGCATGACCGCAGAGGGTACTGAAGACGCCAAATCCTTTATCCTTTAACCCTTAGTAATCACGACTATATCTATAAAGTAAGTACGCCTAGACTCCGTTTTTTTTTTCTTTTCTCTCATTGAGCTCCCTTGATCGTCATCCATGTAATGTTGCAGTCATCTACGTTCCCCATATACTTTGTTCATATAGTCCGCCCCAATCGGGATCAGCCGAACCGTCGGCGCAATTTGCTCGCAGCGCTAGAGGTCTGCGCTGCATATGCGCGCTGTCAGAGAGAGCGATAGGATTGCAGAGAGAGCTGAGAAGCAGGCCGTGGGCGTGACCGCGAGATCCTAGCGACGCGGACTCCCGCCATACCAATTTTGGCCTGGTTAGGATTGGGGCAGACTGTAGATTGCTCCACGCGACGCTCACCAGATGCCACTAGTTAAGGGGGGAGGAACGGTTTAGAGAGAGAGAGAGAGAGAAGAGAGAGAAGAGAGAGAGAGAAAGAGAGAGAGGGGAGCCTACGACGAAAAGCCACCTCGTCTTCCGGCTCAAATCTCTTTATTCTTATGTTTCAATGATGCGTGTTTTCTCTGGATATTTATATTGACGCTGTTTTGGCGTTATAATGATAAACGCGTGTATTGGAAAGTGGACATGTTCGAGGCTCAGTCACTACCTAGTACGGCCATGTGTAAAGTGGGATGAAAAGTTCCATGGAGTGTCTTTTCCCAATATCCTTGCTCAGGATTAGATGCGGATCCGAGACCATGACCACTGCACAGCTTAGCTGTTTCCCCAAGACCATTTCCACTCTCCAATGTTTAGCCATTTATCCCAAGCTCTTAAAGGCAGCGTCCAGGCAGATCCCAGCTCGACGACCACGCCCACTTTCCTCGGACGACCAAACCCTTATGAACGAAATCTCCTCAGCCTTGACGCGTTTTCACATGATCAACGCAGTCGAACTTACACCGTTTACCTGTTAATACTTGCTTTCGACAAGGATAACATCAGAAGCACTCGTCCGCGTTCTCCCAAAATAGCCCCAAAAGGTGGTTTTCTGAGAAATTCACGCTTTTTGAGTTCCATATTCGGAATCAGCGCCATGGAAAGGCCTTGATAACATAAAAATATAGTTGATAACATAAAAATATAGTTGATAACATAAAAATATAGAAGTCGAGAATCTGCCTGGACGCTGCCTTTGAACGCAGCGTCTTGGCAGAATGAACCTTCCTCAGATTTTGACACAAATAGATAAGAGGCCCTTCAAGTGAACCAAAACAACAACTGCGCGCCGAAAATGTGAACTCTGCAAGCTAGGGAGGCGGCCCAACCGCCGCTCCCCTTCCTCCTTTCGCTCCTCTGACACCTTATTCGGACGAGTGTGTTCTCCGCTAGAAAACGCGCCGTCACTCGTAGCTTCGTAGGGAACAATTGTTCTAGCGCTCTCTACCTCCTTACTCTGCGTCTCTAACGGCAGAGAAAAACGGCTACTCGTCCGCGCCCATCTCAAGGGGGGTTTCAAGACGGGATTTCCCCATTTTCGCGCTAAGGGGAGTTCATGTCGTGATTCAGGAAGCCGGAATAGCCCAAAATCTGCGAAAACCCCGAAGTTGAAAATCTGCCGAGCCGCTGCCTTTGAGGGCACCATCCACCCTAAGTTGAGGATGTTGAGCTTTTGACATCATATAATAGCAGGGCCCCCTATCAATCCAATGCTCAAGTCGCAACGCAAAATGCCGCCTCGGAAGCGAGAAAATCGCTTCGGAAAAGTGAAGATGCACGAGGACCCCCCACCTTGCCCGCCCATTTGTGCGCGCCCGTCCAACCACCGTTCCTGAAAGCCGGCCTGTGGGTTCTCCGGAACGGGGATTGCCGGGATTTTCGCGCATTCTCGATTTCATATTCGGAATCAGGAAGAGAAGGCCCTGAAACGACAAAAACGTGGAAGTCGAAAATCTGGGTGGACGGTGCCTTTAAAGGCAGTGTCCGGGCAAAAACTCGATTTTGAGATTTTGTGCTTATATGGGCCTATTCGCCATGCTGAATCCGAAAATGCACATTGGAAAGCGCGAAAACGGCGAAAAAGGGCTCTAACACAGGAGGGAAATCAGCAGGTGGGCGGGGCTTTCCCCAGTGCGATGTCACGCTCCCGACTCCCGGAGCGCTTTTCTCGATTCCGCTAGCCGTCCCAACATCGCTACCGGTCAAGTGCAAATGATTGACTTGAAAAAGGAAGCGAGAAGAACGTTCCGGAAGCCGGGAACGTGAATTCGCAGTGGGGAGGACCCCGCCCACCTGCTCATTTCCCTCTTGTGTTAGAGCCGTTTTCCGCCATTTTCGCGCTCTACAATGTGCATTTTCGGATTCAGCATAGCGAATAGGCCCAAGCAAGCACAAAATCTCAAAATCGAGTTCTTGCCCGGACACTGCCTTTAACACTGCATCCTCCAAGCTCAGAAGCCATGCACCCTCCAGACCTACTTCGAAGTATCTCCTCCACGCTCTCTTTTTCCGAAACTGTAAACCTTGTGTCCACAGTTTTCCCCTCAAACAGTTAGCCTGTCGAAGCTTCCAAAGACTCTCACGCCTAAAGGCAGCAGTGTGAACATCCCGCCGAAGAAGAGGGTAGGGCAGCTTAAAAGAGAGCTTCGTAGTTCAAAATTCAAAAAATGTGGATCTAAAGTTGCCTATCCTTTTTCATAAGTTTCCATTACCTACTACTATGAATCAACCGAACAGGCGTAATGTTGTAGGCTGCCGTGTTTCCAGCAATCTCGTCTTCAGTGTTTTAACAGTCGATCGTTCTTATGACAACATGCTCAGTGAGTTTGTATATAATCAATAGCTTGGACCTATTCATAAAGAATTAATGTTCTGGAGAGACGGTCAGCAGAAAGACATCGAATCATTCAAAAAAGACGAAAAATGCAGCTTTTACGGCAGTATGCTTTCAGTCAATGCATTCAGCAAGGGTAGTGAAAAGATTCAATATGGCAAGTAGCATGAAAACAGTACTCCCAAAGCTTCATAATATGAAGCTTTTTTTCAAGCTGCTACGCTACCCAACAGGTAAGCATGTATGCATCCCTGAATTTATCCTGATCCCTCCACCCTCATCCTCAGAAACGAATCTACTCAAAATCAGATGAAAGTATCTCGCAAAATTTAAGAAGTTCAAATTCTCACCCAGCAGGCGCATAAATTATGGTGACATCAGCCGTAAAGAGAACTATACAGCTCAACGGATACAACGGTAGCAAATTTTCGCTAAGCTGCTTAACAGTAATCACTTCGACGTAAAGCGTTTCAGTAATTTGAATTATGAAAAATATCTTCAAATTTGCACCAAAAAGTTTAGGAACCCTTAAAGGCAGCGTCCAGGCAAATCTAAGCTTATGGGGATCTCACCTGAAGGGTAATCTTGGAGCCCTAATCAAGACACTGCCCAAGCGGCAGCTCAAATGGTGAGCTCATAGCTGACAGGGGAATGGTCAGAAGTCGAAGTGGCCAATCCATACAAGCTGCATACCATTCGATGCAGCATAGAATGCTGATTTCAAATCTTTCTTCCGTATCTGCAGAGCGCTTTTGTAGCTGGAGTTATGAGCAGCTTTACTGCAAAAAATCGTATACAAAAATTGCGAAATCAGGCACATTATTGCTCCTTCAGCTCACCTCTAGGTACGGTTCATATGAAGTAAACTAGTTGCATGTTTTGGTCCAACACTGAGCCAAGAATGGCTTCGTACTACCAAGTTTGCACTTCACACGCACAATTTCTTAGCAAAATAATGGCCTTCAACGGCTTATAATTTCGTTCACAAAAGCGCTCTGCAGATAAGGAAGGCAGATTTAGAGTCAGCATTTTAAGCTGCATCTAATGGTATGCAGCTTGTATGGATTGGCCACTTCGACTTCTGACCATTCTCTTGTGAGATACTCGCCTCCAAACTGGACCCCGGGATCGTATTCGCATGGATTCATGGCGCAACGCGCGAGGACCCACGCGTGTCGCGCCATGAATCCATGCGAATACGATCCCGGGGTCCAGTTTCGAGGCGAATATCTCAACGGTAAGTTACCATTTGAGCTGCCGCTTGGGCAGTGTCTTAGTTAGGGTCTCAGAATACTTTCCATATTAGAACCCCGTATGTCCAGATTTGCCTGGACGCTGCCTTTAACTATCTGATAATTGACCTGTTGCAATCCCCAAGAGTTGAAAGTAATTTTTTGGTGACAGTGTTGGGCAGAAGGAGCTGTATATGTAGTTCATTTGGCGTACAGAAGTGCATTGTGATCAACATCTCGGAAAACAGACTCAAAGCGTCTACTGCTGATGTGTAATCGGTTTGGGTCCATTGGATGCAGTCGAGACAGACAGACTTGTTGACAGTTGGAAAGCAATAGAAAAGCATACAAACATATTACTCATCCTGCGCTTTGTAGAGATTTTGGTGTTATAATGATAAAAGCGTGTGTTGGAAAGTGTTTTGGGACATGTCCGAGGCTCAGTCGCTATCTAGTATGGTATCTGCTATCAAGAGGGTGGCAGCATATTCATAAGTATATTTTCTAATAGCCATTGATGGATGCCATGGTCTGAAGTGCTAATCCTTTGGGAAGTTTTCCAAGAGATGATAAAGAAGGTTACTCCGTTTTCCAAAAAAATTTCCCAGTAAACTAGCAAAATCAGAAACTTTAGAAAGCATACAAGCCACCGGTGTCTTGAATGTGTTAATGGTAGTGTCTCGGCAGATTCGAGTCTGGGGGATGGGTTGTTTCAGACTGCCGCACTGACCGCAGCAGACAGCAGCTGACCGCACTGACCGCAGCTGACTGCAACCGACTGCACTGATTGCAGGCCGCACAGATCGCTGCATCCTTTCGTAAAGGTGGAGAGGTTGAAAGTTGTAGCCCAAACAGTCTCTTAACAATTATAGGTCCAAAAGAAAGCACAAGCGAGAGTAAAATAGATATATGTAATGACAGGAGGAATCAGAACAAATACGGGAATACCAAAGAAAAACAATCGCCAAGATTTGATTGAGAAATGTAAGTTAAAACCTATAAACTTTCTAGGCGTAAATCACGGTGTTTTGACGTATTCGCAATTGTTTTTTCTTTTAAGTTGCGGTCAGCTGCAGTCTGCTGTAGTCTGCTGCGGTCAGTGCAGTCAGCTGCAGTCTGCTGCAGTCTGCTACAGTGCGGCAGTCTGAAACAACCCGATATATATCATCGGCTCCCAGATTCGTGTGGAGTTGGAGTCTTGCCAACTCACCGCGTGGCGGTTTTTGCTAGCGGGAGATTACGAAAAGCAATGCTATGACGTGGAGGTGTAGCAAGTTTACATGTGTTATCAGGCAAAGTCTGCAATACACCTCCACACGAATCTGGGAGCCGATCATATACACGTAGATGCCGTGGGATTCCTGGTCAACCTACTAACCTTCAAGCCTACCCGGCTACCTGATGTTACCTCTGCCCGAGAAAACTGCCCTCGCATCGAAGCGCTAGGACGATTCCGTCTACCGTAGATTCGCTGACCGCATGGGCGCCGCGAGGCAAAACGCTCGCCCCAGTCAAATGCGCTATCGTACAATAAGTTCATAAACACTTATCAAACTAACTACAAAGGAGAAAATTGACTAACCATAGAGAACAAGAGGGATCATATACTGTTGCAACGGCAACAGAGCAGCTATGTGGTGCCTTCTGCCGGGAACAACGTTTCTGGCTACACAGGGTTGCAGGAAATCAAGTGTACTGAAGGAATACTTTACATGTCAGCCATAAAGAAAAGCATAGGAACGATACCTCTGTTTTCTGAACCTTGTTGGTAAATCCTGGCATCGAATCTCCATGCGATCACTTGGTGCATAATCATTTTCTAAGTATTTGCCATTCGATCGCTTCCGCAACTCTAAATCAGCAGACACTATGAGGCATTATACAGTCGGTATCACCCCGGATTAGGCGGAACATCCCATAAGGAGGGGCGCGTACGCACCGCCGGAAGTCTCGCGAGCGCATAGCGCTGGCATTTTGCCAAGCAGGGACTGAGGAGAAGGGAGAGACGCAGACCTCGGTTCTCAGCACGATATGATGTACTGTAGCTGCGAAACGGCGCGAGCTGTTGCGAGGCGGACGCCCGCCAATCCAATTTCCGCCTAATGCGGGCCGAAACTTACTGTAGACTAAATCTGAATTAAAGGCAGCGTCCGGGCAGATACGAAACGTAGGGTCCCACAAAGACTGTGCATCTTAATTTGGCGACAGGCGACAAAATTCAAATCAAGAGCTTCTGGAGAGGCCCGTTTTCGGGTAACGTGCCCTTCAAGCCGCATTTTCAAAATCAGCGGGAGGAGTAAGCCCAGGTAAGCGAAAAAAAATTCCATTCGAAATTTTGCGCTGCCTTCAGGCAGCGTCCAGGCAAGTCTGGACACATGGGGATCTCACGTGGATAGTAATTTTGGGGCCCTATCTAAGCCACTGCCCAACCGGCAGCTTATTCCCCTTGAAACTGGATCCCGGGGTTGTATTTCGCATGGATTCATGGCGCAAAGTGTGGGTTCTCGCGCGAAACCGCCATGAATCCATGCGAACACGATCCTGGGGTCCACTTTGAAGGCGCATATCTCGGCCTTAGTAATTCACCTGCGCTGCCACTTAAAGGCAATGGCTCGGCAAATCTTAACCTAGAAAAATTCTCGCTTACCTGGGGTTTTCCAATGCGCTGATCCCGAAAATCCACTTGAGAGAGCTTAAAAATGGCAAAAACGAGCGTTTTCCAATGCCCTTTGCTTTGAAATTGGACGAGTGCGGCACGGCTGAAGACGCCGAATCGTTGGACCCAATGATTATAGCATTGCGGCGGGCAGCCTCCAACGGTGAGAAAAGCGTTGTCAACTCGTCCGAGTGCGTGTACGCGTGTAAGTTTGAGAGCAGTTTTCTCGGCGGTGAAAGCATGTTATGCGACCGGGATTGTACTGTTTTCATACTTGGGTGAAAAACAACCTAGCGCGTCAAAATCTTGTGTTGCTGAATTTTGCCGAATCCACTGCCTTTAAAGGCAGCGTCCAGGCAGATTCTCGACTTCTATATTTTTATGTTATCCAGGCCTTTCCATGGCGCTGATTCCGAATATGGAACTTAAAAAGCGTGAATTTCTCAGAAAACCACCTTTTGGGGCTACTTTGGGAAAACCCGGACGGGTGCTTCTGATGTTATCCTTGTCGAAAACAAGTATTAACAGGTAAACGCTGTAAGTTCGACTGTGTTGGTCATGTGAAAACACGTCAAGGCTGAGGAGATTTCGTTCATAAAGGGTTAACCGTCCGAGGGAAGTGGGCATGGTCGTCGAGCTCGGATCTGCCTGGACGCTGCCTTTAGGCAGTGCCTTAGTTAGGGCCCCAAAATTACTTTCCACGTAAAATCCCCATAGGTCCAGATCTGCCTGGACGCTGCCTTTAATGTCATAAAGAGTGTGGAACCGAGCACTCAATCGATCTCAGTATTTGTAAATTTTTCATGCTACGCACTTATATATCAGTAGCGGTCTCGAGATTTCCGTTCGGAGAGGGGGGGGGGACAAAAAATTTTCTCGGATGGAGGAGCGTACCTTCAGCTACGCACCCCGAAAAAACTTTTGAGGTGCTTCTTTTCGCGGGCCCATACGGTGCCGAGAAAATGCGGTAAAATTTGCGTGTGATTAAATAGCAACGCCTGTACAGCCACATGCGCGCGCGAAATGCCGGCATTGTTGCGCGGCTAATTGTTCACGCTCTCAATTTACCACTTTCTTAGAGCGTTTCATACTGCAGTCGCTGCAGCAGCTGCAATCATATTGGGGCGGGCAAAAGATATCGATCGATCGACTGCCGTCGCTGCAGCGACTGCAGTATGAAACAACCTTTAGCACCGCAAGCATACTATTTTAAGCGGAAAATCCACTCGACTGTACAGTCGCTTCTCTTATATATAAAGCTGAATGTCTGTTTGTATGTATGTCTGTCTGTATGTCTGTCTGTCTGTCTGTCTGTGTGTACGTATGTTCCGAAAAGAAAATTCCATTTCTGAACCGATCCGGACCAAACTTGGCACACATACACTTCGGGCCCCGGCGGGTGTCATAGGGTACTTTTCGTCATCGATCGATATCGATTTTATCGATTTTTTGCAAAATTTGAGCTACGGGGCTGGGATTTGGCACGGGGGGGGGGGTAATCGAGCATGCTGATTACGTATATAATAATGACAGGGCCGGGCGGAGCCGGGTAAGTCAACTAGTTTCATGTGATCATGTGTGTTATTGCACACACAGTTCACCTTTGGCGTCCCCATCCTGGATTCGTGGGAGAAACAAACCTTCGGGTAAGTGTTTCCATGGTGTTCTTAGCATTTTTTTTCCTTTTTACTCACTAGTCACCTCAAATTGATGTAATCTATTAAAATCGGTAAGTCTCTTGCGTTTTTGCGATTGCAAATTCAGGATGAGGACGCCAAAGTGGACTGTGTGTGCAATGGCACACATGATCATATGAAATGAAGCGACTGTAGTTCCTGCGATTTCATCGCCTCGCGATTCTCCCAACAAGATAACTGTTACGAATTCATTGCGTGTCGATCTTTCCGCATTTCGGTTATGATAGATAGTCACGATGAGTCGCGTCGAAAAACTAGCACAACCGAATGCAGGAAGGTCGGCATGCAATGGATTCGCGACAGTTGTCTTGCTTGAAAATCGCAAGGCGATTAGATCGCGTGAAGTATGCCCGGGGCCTGACGAAAGCCCTTTCAAGTCCACATCCACAATTTTCCCTGTTTGTTAACCGCATTGTTGTTATGGTTTGTACATCCGGCGTAACCATTCGTGCTATTATTCCGTTGTATACACGAGAAGACTTTCAAATCGCACTATTCGTTGCGAAGCTAAGGTCTACATATTTTCAACCCCAAGAAAACGTAGAAGAAATGGGTATGCACTTAAACACACCCTTACGCGTCACGTGCCCAAGTGATAGGAGGATAACATGCTCCAATCGTACTGGAGCGCAACAAGTTGTTTTCCTTCCGATGTCCGCTGCCTCTAATGGGCATTCTAGTTGCTGCGTAAAAGACACACGTAGTTCCTGCGCAGAGGTAATATAGCGAAAAGTTTAGGGGGAGATTAAATTAACAAGAGTCCGCACATGTAATGGTTCACGCCGTTCGCAGCTACAGTATATCATATCGTCCTCAAAACTCATGTCTGTGTCTCTTCAATCTCCTCAGTCTTTGTGCAAAATGCCAGCTCTTTACTGTCGCAAAACCTTCAGCTATGCGGACGCGCTGCTCTACGAAAAATATTCCGCCTACTCCAGGTTGAAGCAGGGTGACTGATACGGACTGCTTGCACACCGAGGTGAAAGTTTTTTGGTACTTTTCCGTTAACCGGACCCATTTTTTCGAAAAAGGATATTGCTTTTTTTCTTATACCACATTTGGTCCCAACCTCACAGGAAAGAGTGCCAACCTTTTGCCACGTGTCGAAAAAATTTGACATGTCTCTACATGTTTAGCAGGTTTTAGCATGAGTTCGTGTTGCCCTACCTAGTGACCTGAGTTCGGTTGTTTTTCGGCCGATAATGGCACCATTTTCGATTGAACAAGTTCAGAAATGAACATTATTATGATAATAACGTTATCCTGTTATCAATGAACAGATTGGACTTTGCCCAGAATAGAGAACTGCGCCACATCGTCTAAGCGACAAAACAATCAGTAGCCATTTACTTCGAGCCATCAATTATAGACTATCCTGACTAAATTCGCATGACGGACAGAGTTTGAAAAGAAAGACATTTTTCGAATCATTGTTGAAAGCAACAATATGTTCTAATATGAGATCCAAACTGATTTCTTTATAGAAAACAATCAAATAGTTTTCAGGTGACTACAAGTGCTCTTTTACCTTGCCTGAAATGATTTAAAAAAAATGTGTCCAACTGGACCTAAACATGTCAATTTTTTTCTTGACACGTGGCAGGGAGGCTGTCCTCGTAAAAACTACAAAAAATTGTTTCTAAATTAAATAGCATAAGAGCCCTTTGAAAAAATGGGTCCTGATGAAAAGTACCGTTTTCTTAAACAATTACTGCAAAACCTCGGATATAAAGTGCAAATGATAGAACTTGAACTCGCCTTGCCTTTCACTGTAGTAGTCCAACTCTTGCATGGCTGCGTTCTGAATATTTGCATATATTAACAATGTGAAAAAATTGCAAGACTCACATATAAGAGATTTAAAACTAGACAGAACAAAATTAAAAAAACTCCTCTTTAAAGGCGACGACTATACGAAGAAGTCTGGATGCCTCGTATCTGAAGGCAATGTCCGGGCAAGGTTTGGGTGTAGTGCAACATCAGTGCCATGTAAAAATTCGCCAGGAAGCGAACCTCGTTATGGAAAGTACGAGCACACTAACTGACTCATTAGCTGACAAATCCGGCTCCGCCCGGTCCTGTCAATGATATTTTCGTAATCAGCATGTCACCCCCCCCCCCCAAAGCCAACTCCCGCCTCGTAGGTGAAACTTCGCAAAAAATTTAGATCTATTAATAACGAGAAGTAGCCGACACAAGTTGTCGGGACTCAGCTAGCTACAACAGTTGCTCGAGAAGAAGGTTGGCCGAAGACATCCAACCTCTGGCAATGACCTCCAGCCGCCGGCACTCGCCGGTGGCCTTCCCTTTTCCTTCCCCCCTTTTGTACATAATCTTGCATAATAAATATTATAGTAAATCCTACGTAAGCCTTACACATCAGGTAAGGGAATCGCGAACCCTTATACCTGGCAAAGTAAGTGAGCATGTTGATTACTAACACAGCGGGAATAGGGAATTGCATGTAGAAGTAGGCACAGGTAAAGGTTGTACAAGGATAGGGATGACAGCTTTATCATAGTGTTTTGACAGGGCCGGGCGGAGCCGGATAAGCCAATTAGTATCCTTATACGCATCGTTTTTCCCCAGCAAAATTCCCATAGATACCATCTGCCTTGGTTATCTCGCTGCCTTTCGCTCTTTTGAACGTATTAACCTCGCGCAGTTCCGTTGAAATCTCGGAGAAACGTGTCAAAAAGAGCGAAAGGCAGCGTCGCACCATGTACAGTCGCTTCATTTCATATGATCATGTGTGCCATTGCACACACAGTCCACTTTGGCGTCCTCATCCTGAATTTGCAATCGCAAAAACGCAAGAGACTTACCGATTTTTATAGATTACATCAATTTGAGGTGACTAGTGACTAAAAAGGAAAGAAAATGCTAAGAACAGCTTGGAAACACTTACCTGAAGGCTTGTTTCTCCCACGAATCCAGGATGGGGACGCCAAAGCTGAAGAGATCCGGTACGCGGCAAACGTTGAGGGATACGTTAGCCGTGGAGCGCGAAAGCGCAATCATTGGCCGTAGTTGGCAAGACAGCTAAAGTTGGCCGGGGGGGGGGGGGGATTTTTCAGGTGTACTTCCAAGGGATTTCCCCATGTAGATTTTTGCCTGATCCGGAGGGAAAAAAACAAAAACGAGCATTTGTTCCAAAGTTGTATTTCTTTGGAAAAATGTTGAGAAGCCAGATGCAATCGAGTGACTCTCTCAATGTACTTACGTTGCTTTTGCTGTTGTTGTTTGCGTTCTGTAGTTGTTCCTTGCTAGTTATTTGTATGGTGTATCGTGATGTAATAACATAATAGAATATCTTGCCGTTAACATTTCCTTGTAATGAGCTGGCTGGCTATCTGCTGTATAAAACTGATCACCTACTAGTATTAGTAGAAGACTTTTCAAATAAAAAAGTAGTACCCAATTTTGCTCGGAATTCAGCAGAGCACATGATGGCTGCCCACAAAGGGATAGATACGGCTTGCAAATTCATAGTTAGGAGAATATTTCGACACTGGCACTAAAAATAGAATTCCTATGCGTTTCTGTAAAGTTTCGAAAGTTTAGCAGTTCTACACTCAAGGATGAACGGACTAAGGGTTATTATGTTCAACAAAACACTAGCAATTTATGCGAAAAGTCAATGCAGATATTTAGATTTCTTCAAATGGCAGACAATCCCCAAACGAGTTGGTTTCGTTTGAACAGACTAGACTTTAAAACGACATTGAATTCAACTTTTTCAAGATAAAGGTTTAACAAAGTATTTCTCGCAAGGAGAGAGTGTCAAGCGTGGTTTCTGTACCACAGAAACAGAACACAAACAGACAAAATACTTCAGAACCGATACAGTATCACACTCATTTCGTCAGCGGAACTATCAGTGGCGGTAGATTGAATGAAACCTCCACTCTTACCAAAATTTCGTGAAACCTACTTGCCTTATGCGGCCAATACAAAAACACTATCACGATTAATCCTGTATATGAGGGGAATTGATCTTGAGGATTCAATTCAGGCCGTCAAGTCACTGGCACAAACTTTGTTTGTGCGTTACCAGCGTCAAAATATGAATAGGCAAAATCTTCTAACTTCTAACAACACTTCCTGCATACGTCCGAACGATACTTAATTCTGCATTAATCATCAACTGCAAAATTTCAGCATCAGTATTAGGAAGCAAACGCGAAAGTATTTAAGGCGACATTCCTATGGTATCTACTTCCGCATACTGATTAAAGCTGCACTTGAAGTTCAACAGAAAAAGCAGTTTAAAAGAGAGCGCACATGCTCACAAAATTCAAGATAACTAGACTTTTCAAGTCAGCGGAACTGTTGAAAATGATAAACATTGCAACCATCTGTTGCACGCATCGAAAATGCAAACCCGACATCTTTTTTTTTTTGAAGCTAGTCATGGGAAATATGAAGTCCACATTCTTCAAAGTTCTGTTCTCACTAGATTGAGCAAAAAAATGAAAGATCTTCAAAGCATTTGCCTTCTATAATTGAAAATCAAAAGTTAACGCACGAATTTGGCTTAGAAATGACGAAGATAAGATTTTATCGACCAAGAAACATCAAAACGATCTTAGAGAACAAAAACATGTGAAAACTGGGCCAACTTTAGCTGTCTTGCCAACTACGGCCAATGATTGCGCTTTCGCGCTCCACGGCTAACGTATCCCTCAACGTTTGCCGCGTACCGGATCTCAAAGCTGAACTGTGTGTGCAATGACACATGATCATATGAAATGAAGCGACTGTACGCACGTTGGTTCACATGGGAATTTTTTTGGCGCACACAGGATACATACGTAGCCAAACAAATGGCATTATTCTTCTACACCTACTCAGATGACACCAATCAAAATAAGCACTCACCATATCAAATACAAAGTCGTTACAATGCATACGTCGTTGATCATCGCCAAATTCGAAGATGTAAGATCCTGAACGAGGAAGGATATCATTCATTCATCCATTCATTTGAAAGGATCATTGGAACGTCAGCTTGCAAACTTCCAAATAATAACAAGCCTTGGGGCACGGTCCACCAGTCCGTGACTTCCAGCTCTTTTCGCCTTATCCTCTTTTCATGACCGTGATTTTGAATTCGAAGTTCAGATGGCATGATAAATCTCAACCCCTCGAACGCCCGTAAAGCTCGGGACTGGGAGGAGTTGCAGGTGCGCTCCATTGCCATTTCGATTAGAGCACCTCTTTTCAACTGGAGCGCACTATCTCCAAACACTTGACGCATCTGACAAGGAGTGTCACCGGTGATGAAAGTTGCTGGTGTATGACTGTTGCACGGCTGCTAATACGAGTCATGAGATTGACTGAGGAAGAGATGTGTACATTCTATCCGGTAAAGTAGAGAAAGTTGTTGAAGTATGTAACGCAACTAATTACACCAGTGTGATTAGTCGCTGTTACTATTGCTTCCTCTTTCAACATCATCCTCCAACACTTCACAGTGACGCCATTTCTATATATAGCTATGGGTACATACTTTACATCTCTATGAAATTCGTCTGTAAAACGTTATGTTGAAGAGCTAATGCTTCCTTTTGTATGATCGATTGTCCCACGCACAGTTTTGGACTTTCAATTTGAACTCCATAAAAGTAAGTGATTCCAATGTACGTTTCATTTTATTGTTCGTTTCCACGAATTCTTATGTATGGCTGCTTTGTTTGTGGAACTATGGCTCCCGCCAGAGTGCCGAAGTTATGCCAGCGCTACGCCAGCATTTCGATCGATACACGTGTATTTCGTTGGGGCGGGGCTAGCTGACGTCCCCAACGAAATACACGTGTATCGATCGAAATGCTGGCGTAGCGCTGGCATAACTTCGGCACTCTGGCGGGAGCCTATACTTGTCGAGCTGTTACAGCTGCATCGCTCGCCAAAGTTGGCCCAGAGTTCACATATAACTCAAAGAAGGTCATTTGTCCAATCTTCAATTTGAACCGATAGCTGCACAATGATTTGACGCTTAAATAGGCGTTAGTTTCAATGCAATTCACAAAAAGGGGTTACCTAGTATTCTCTTCGACAAAAATATGTTACTGTACTCAATTCTAGGCTGGTACGCACGACGCAGCCAGAAAAAATTGCTATAGTGCTTAGCACTCTAAGGCCCCGGACAGACTTCACGCGATCTGATCGTCGCGACTGAATCGCGACGAGACAACTGTTACAACATCATTCCATGCCGATCAATTTGCATTTCGGTTGTGATACTTTTCCAGCCCGAACTTTTTGAATGTGAAATGAAAATGAATGGAAATGTCGGTGATTGAGTCGCGACGATCAAATCGCGTGAAGTCTGTCCGCGCCTAAGAAAGCAAAGTTACAAAGTGGATCAGAATGATTTTGTGCTTCAAAAGTAGCCAAGAACTCGTTTCTATTCACAATTTCTGCTCAGGGTGCAACCAGATTCAAGTAAATTTCTTCTATGTTGCGCAATTTCCTTCTTCCACAACTTATCAATTATTACCCTGTATCGTTTGCATTACCTTTGGTGTTCATCAGTATTCGTAGATGGTGAACGAATCAAACAGCTTCATCGAGAAAGACAATCGAGAGAACAGACAGCATCTACGATCTCTACCAGATGCTAATATCACTCGTACCTATAGTTACAAATGGCTGCGAAGAGTGCGCCCCATGACCCAATACAAATTGCGCTTCCGCGCGGGACTCTTGTCGATACAACGCTCACACCCTATAATTTTCAATGCGACCTGAAGGGAAAACCCTTATCTGGGAGAATCATGAGAATACAAGTACACCACAAGTTAGTACTAGCTCAGGTGAAAGTACAGTTACAGTACGATATCTGATGTTTGAGCTGAGTATGCCACCACCCGATGTTTGTCGAACGATAGTAGGTTCATCTTCTTGATAAACTGAACTGATGCTGAGCATGTCATTGATGAGGCAGCAGGTTCATTTATGGTAGTGGTAAGCACGTCGACAACAAATCGTCAGCTTTTGGTATACATGGGCTTTTTCGTACAGCCTTTTTTACTAGCAAGCCTCTCGAGCATATTTCCGATTCTTGATGCTGGACGCTTGAAAAGTTGCAAAAGGTGATCTGTTTACTTTTGCTGTAAAATCACTGCAACCTCTCTTCTGAATCATGCTTACAGTGAATGGATAAGTTTAGCGCTTGTGCTTCGTTTCATAATAGATTTGAAGGATATCTGCATGCGGCGTGTTTAATTGATTTCAAACTACCACACAAGAGATTGACTCCATGTTCACGAACTAAAGCTCTAACTGCCTCTTTCACATAATTGCAGGTCATAGAAACCAGGAACCTTGCACTACCAGAAGCCGCTCATGAAAACCTTTGGATTATCGTACTGAGGAAGTAGTTTTCCTGAATGTGCCATCAAAGGAGGCAGTCTTCTTGATATGTCACGTAAAACATTGTGGTTATCAGATTGGAAAACAAAGGGTCAAAAAAGCATCAACCACGTATCCCTCTCATAGACAAAATCAAACCCATGCTTTTGAAGACTTGTCAACCAATCATAAATGAACCAAGGCTATTCTGATGCAGACCGATAGACCAGGCTGACGTCACAGCGGCCTTCCTAAGTTGGAGTTTGTTCAAAACGATGCGATTATTGCTATAAACATAAAGCTGACTCAAAGCAAACTTACAATACTCAGTCACAAGCTAAACTTCCTCCTTTAGCGAGCTGAATGTGCAGCTGACTTCTTCATGGCTGTCTTAGGAGCACAACACATTGCTAAGGCTGCCTTACGCTTATGCACCCATCACCTTTTTTCCATGCTAAGTTCGTGGTCATCGGATCAAGAAACATTGATGTGGATGGTATTATGTGACTAGACAAGCTTTCATCAAGCGAAGAATAAATGCACTTGTTTTCTGATGATTCTTCTGTAAGAAAGAGTTGTTTTCCTTGAGCGTAGCTTACATCGCGAGGAAAGTTATGGGGTACGCTCGCACAATCGACAGGAGTCCCGTGCGGAAGCGTAATATGCACCGGGTCATGGAGCGCGCTCTTCGCAGCCATTTGTAACTATAGGTACGAGTTGCTAATATCACATACAGACATCTGCGAACCCATTTTCGTGTAAACAACCAGAAAAAGAAACTGTACAATCATAATAACCCTTGAAGCCGATGCACATGAGCGCTTCATGTGATGACAGAATACGTTGTTCGGCAACTCCCTCTCTATCACCGCGAAACAGCAATGCCATCTCATTTTTAATCAGTCTCCTGACTTTAGTGAGAGCTATGCATTGCAATAATACATCAACATCCTCTCATCACTGATGATATAGAGTGTCTAACATGGATATATTTGCCCCAAGCTTTGCTTCTCTGCAAGCGGAATGTTCAATGAAGCGAAAAGTCTCCTACTCGGAAGAGCATCAACGAATCAGGAAAACCACTTCACAACAGCGAAGTAGTTTTTGACTCTCTGACATAGCGTGTACGTTAACATTCCAAATTTTCACAAAAATGCAAAAGAAAATACACGTACTCATCGCCACATCTACGAACGGCGTCAGGTGTGTCAAACGCGAGTGTGGAGATAAGTGTTATAAGTATTTGGAGATAGTGCGCTCCAGTTGAAAGGGGGTGCTCTAATCGAAACGGCGATGGAGCGCACCTGCAACTCCTCCCAGTCCCGAGCCCTTTTACGGGCGTTCCAACCCCTCCCCCCCCCTTCTGTGGGCCTTTTTTTTGCAAACGCCGACGAATGCAATAAAAGTCCGTCAGAGGGATCGGCCTAATCCGGCAGCTGTTGCCGAGATAGATAGGATGCCGCTTAGGGACCCGTCATACTTCGCCGAGAAAGGCTCAAAAGCGCTCAAAAGGCTCAGAAAAGCCCGAAAAAAAACCCAAAAAGCCCGAAAAAACCCAAAAAAGCCCGAAAGCGCCAGAAAGAGCTGGAATGCAGAGACGAACTTTTGGTAGAATTCTGACATTGTTTTGATGTGCAGACGAAGAAAACGAATCAAAAATCCTCGGTTGCGAAATCAACACACATTCTTTAGCGCCAAAACGTGCACGCGGAAGGGGGCGTTGCGGCTTTTTCTGGCGCTTTTGGGCAGTTTCGGGCTTTTTGGGCTTTTTTGAGCTCTTTTGGGCTTTTCTCGGCGAAATATGACGAGTACCTTAGGCATGCGCCATACTTGATCCATTTGATCCACTTCTCAGCTGGTCAAATCAGTCAAATGACCAGTAGCGAGGAGGATCAAGTGGATCAAGTGAACAGTCACAGAAATCGGGCACAGGCTTCAGAAATTCAGAAAGTCTTCAGGACAGTATGATGTCTTAAAGAATGTCACATTCTGAGATCCCAAAGGTGAGGAGGAAAGGGGTCGTCTGGAACCTTCAGGGGGGGGGGGGGTGGGGGTCGTTTTCGAAAGACTTGTGCCTGACCTCCTGTTCAGCTCTGGCTGTAACCAGAGTTGAGATTGGGGTGAGGCGTGCCCGTCCTGGGGGGTCGTATTGGGGGTAAGAGGGAAGGGGGTCGTAATCAAGACTTGTTCACAAAATGGAGAGGATGCTACGATTGAGGGAGGTGAAGAAAAAGAGCGCGAGACTAGTGAATATCATCTCACCGGAGAGGGAATGACTGTCGTTAATTGCATCTTGGTTGATTCCACTAACGCAGTTTCTGCCAACGGTAACTGCCAACGGTCACCAAAAAGACTTGCCGTGTGAAGTGGATAAGATTTCCGTAATCAGCATGCCAACTACCTATACGAGCTCTACACCATCACCTATCACGTTTTCTAGTGTTTCCTAACGTCTAGGTGATTTTCAAACATGATTAATTTGTCATGAAAGTAAAAGAAGTCTGCTTTATTGTGCTCAAAACGAAGTAATACTTTTAGTCAGTCTAAGGTAGAAATTAGATCTCTTATCGCTTTAAAGTGGATTAAGAAGCGC